GGGGTGTCTCTGCCATCTCCATTTCTAACCAGCTCCCAGGTAAGCCATAGGTACAGTGAAGTTTAAGACTTACTGGCTGTTACGGGTTGAATTGCCTTTCCCCAAAATTCATACATTGGAATCCTAACTCCCACAACCTCAGAATAGGACCTTATTTGGAGGTAGGGTTTTTAAATGAGGTCATTGGAGTGAGTTCTAATCCAACTGGTATCCTTTTTAATATATATAATTGATTTCAGAGAGGAAGGGAGATGGGGAGAGAGATGGAAACATCAATGATGAGAGAGAATCATTGATCGTCTGCCTCCTGCACATCCCCTACTGGGGATCGAGTCGGCAACCCAGGCATGTGCTCTGACAGGGAATTGAACTGTGACCTCCTGGTTCATAGGTCAACGCTCAACCACTGAGCCACACTGGCCAGGCCCTTAGGACTTTCTTAATAGCATTTTCTTTTCTCCAGCTTACTTTAGTGTGAGAATACAGTATATAACACATGCACCATACAGGATATGTGTTAATTCACTGCTGTTATTGATAGGGCTTCTGGTCAATGGTGGACTATTAGGAGTTAAGTTTTGGGGATTTTCACTAGGTGGGAGACGGGCACCTCGAACCCCTGCATGTTCAAGGGTCGGCTGTGTTTGCCTTTCCAGGGGCTTTTAGTTCCTTCTGTGGCCTTTGCTTCAACCCGAAGGGCTCCCGTAGCGTCTTGGGCACAGGTCCTGTGGCTTTCGTTGATCCGGGAGTGCCTCAGTTTGTCCCTCGTTCTTGAACAGTTTTGCTGGAAAGAGGAGGATTTTTTTTTTTTTGATTTTTTACAGAGAGGAAGAGAGAGAGACAGAGAGCCAGAAACATCGATGAGAGAGAAACATCGATCAGCTGCCTCCTGCACACCTCCCAATGGGGATGTGCCCGCAACCCAGGTACATGCCCTTGACCGGAATCGAACCTGGGACCCTTCAGTCCGCAGGCTGACGCTCCATCCACTGAGCCAAACCGGTTTCGGCGAGGAGGATTTTTTTATTTGAAGGGTTTTTAAATTATTTTATGTACAAAGGAATAGCATTCTGTGATAAGGTGGATGTCCTGAACGACCCATTCACAGAAGTTCACTTAGTCCAATGGGTGAATCCCTTGTCCGTCGCGTCCTGACAGACTCACTGGCGGCACCTGTGGAGGCCGCACGTCCGGGTCAGACCCTGGCGGGTTGAGCAGACGCAGCAAGAACGGGGGCCTGGCCGTGTCCTGGTGCTCCAGCAGAGCTGCTGGTGGCCCCTCTTGCTCTCTCTGTAGCAATGAGGCAAAAAGGGGAAAAAGGACTCGTGATGGACAGTCCTTTTCCCTTCAGCACTTTGAATACACAAACCTGCTGCCCTCTGGCCTCCAAGGTTTCTGATGAGCATGTGTTTTAATAACATTGAGGATCTTTGTTTGCCACAGGGCTCCTCTATCTTGGTGCTTGCAAAATCCCCCTTGTCTTTGTCTTCCAACAGCTGGATTATAATGTGCCTTGGTGTGGGTCTCTGGAGTTATTTTATTTTATTAAATTGTTTTATTTTTTAGAGAGAGAGGGAGGGAGGAAGGAAGACGGGGCGGAGCGGGGGGGGGGGGGGGGAGGAAGAGAGAGAAAGAGATCCTACATGCACCCTGACTGGGGATCGAAACCAAAACCTGGGTGTATGCTATGACCAGGAATTGAACCCTCCACCTTTGGAGTTTGGAATGACGCTCCAACCAACTGAACTACACTGGACAGGGCTCTTGGAGTTTGTTAAGCTTCTTGGATGTTTTATCTTTCATCAAATTTGGGAAATTTTGGCCATTATTTCTGCACGTAATCCTTCTGCCTCCTTCTGGGACACCTGTGATGTGTGTGTGGGTCTGTTTGATGGTGCCCACAGGTCCCTCATCTGCCCACAGGGGGCTCTGTGAGTGCCCTGTGAGTGGGAGTGGGAGCGAGCCCCTTGTGATGCCTCTGGTCGGGCCTCATGGACTGTCCTCCATTCCAGGACTCGTACCTGCTCGACTATTTCCTCTTTCTGAGCCGCTACTTTGAGGTGGGGGCCCCGGTCTACTTTGTCACCACCGGGGGCTACAACTTCTCCAGCACGGTGGGCATGAACAACATCTGCTCCAGTGCCGGCTGCGAAAGCTTCTCCTTAACCCAGAAGATCCAGTACGCCACCGAGTTCCCCGAGCAGTGAGTGTCTCCCCCCTGCCCTCCCGCCCCTGTCTGTGTCCCCCACTCCCTCTGGCCCCCCTTCCTGCCTTCCCGGCCCCATCCTGCTGCCCATCCTGCTGTGCCTGGGGAGGCCCAGTGTGGGGGTGGGGCCATGCGAAGGACCCACCACTTGCCCTCTGGCCCTGCCCCCTGAGCTCCTCCCCCGACCCCCAGGTCTTACCTGGCCATCCCCGCCTCCTCCTGGGTGGACGACTTCATTGACTGGCTGACACCATCCTCCTGCTGCCGCCTTTATGCCTTTGGCCCCAGCAAGGACCAGTTCTGCCCCTCGACTGTCAGTGAGTGAGAGGCCTCTGGGGGCTCATGGCCCCCACAACTTGGGGAAATGAGGGAGAGAAAGGAGAGAACTGGGGAAACCCCCTTAGCCCCTCACACCCTCCTAAAGGGTCAGTTGGGATGGGACCCAGGCTCAGAACACGTGTGGGTGCCCGAGCCCAAGGGGGCTGGACACTGGGCACTCACACACTCTCCTGAGCTGTGTCCAGGCTCTGGGGGGCGCTGGTTCTCACGCAGCGGGGGAGGGGAGTGAGCCCGGGTGCCCCGGCCCTGGCCCCGGAGCAGCTGCGTTTGCAGGTGGGGAGGCCCTGTAGGCCGTGGGCTGTTTCTCTGCCCCCAAATTCCCTTCCTCACCCGTTCACAGGGGTTGGCAGTTTCCATGATGGAGAGAGCCCACCCCCACCCCCCAGTTATAGGGAAACAGAATGTGCTCTTGGGCACACAGGCGGCTGTTGCCTGCAGGGGCAGGTGCCTGGGCCTGAGGAGCACAGAGCGGCCGGAGGGCACCGCTCCTCACCCCCCACTCTCTGCAGACTCGCTGGCCTGCTTGAAGAACTGTGTGGGTTTCACCCTCGGCCCCGTGCGGCCATCGGTGGACCAGTTCCACAAGTACCTTCCCTGGTTCCTCAGCGACGCGCCCAACATCAAGTGTCCCAAAGGGTAGGCCTGCGTGGGGTGTCCGCAGGGGGCATGGAGTGGGTGGTGCCGGGAGGGGGGTGGAGGAGGGGGTCTTGGGGGAGCCTTGACCCCAACCAAGCCTTTACTCGGCCCACCCCAGTGGCCTGGCAGCATACAGCACCTCCGTGAAGCTGGACCGAGACGGCCAGGTTTTGGGTAAGTGTGGCTGGGCATGGTGGGGAAGGTGTGAGGCAGCGGCTCCAGGGCCCTGAGCCTCCGGGAGGCTCCTCTCCTTCCATCCAATCCTCTCTCCTTCCTCCTTCATGGGGCCTTCTAGCCGCCCCCTTGGAGGCTGTCAGTCACTCAGATCCTCAACCTCACACTTCACCTTCTGCCTCCCCACCCCCAACCCTCAGAGCAACATGGGGGTCCACGGGAGACCCCTGTGGCTGCATCCATCAGAGGCAGGGCCGTCCACACCCCCGCAGGCCCTTTGCCCGAAGTTTATTCCGAATCCCAAACACGGTGGCAGCGGGGCCCTGAGCCAGCCCCCTGGGTCCCGAGGGTGCCTGGAGCGGCTCTGGC